TAAAATATGATTTTTTACACTAATATAGGAAATTTGTAACATAGTGTATGAAAACATATTTATCATACTATACTGTGACATTTTTTTCATATATAAATATTTTTTTTGACTAAAATACAACATTTTAAACATACTATATGATGACATTTTTATCATACTATGTTGTGACACTTTTTTTTCTGTTTTCAATTCTTTTTACATTAAACTATGTTTCTTTTTCACTCTAAAACGTGAAATTTTGGACATGCTATTCTATGACATTTTTTTCATACGAAAATATAATTTTTAAACCATACTAAAATATTACATTTTTTATCATATTATATTTTGACATTTTTATCATACTATACTATGACATTTTATTTTATTAAAATATGATTTTTTTTTACACTATGATGTTAAATTTTTAACATAAGATACCATGACACTTATATATTGCTATACTAAAACATTTTTTATATTTAAAATATGATGTTTTTTCATACTTTCATGTAAAACATTTAACATACTATACTAGGCCTTTTTTAATATTGAAATATTAATTATTTTTAACACTAAAATGTGAAATCTTTGACATACGATACAATGACATTTTAATCGTGCTAAATTATGTCATTTTTTATATTTAGACATAAAATATGATGCATTTTTATACTAAAACATGTTTTATATCATAATGCACTAATTAATTTATTCATCATACTATACTATGACATTTTTTTCATACTCAAATATGATTTTTTTTATACCATAACATGACATTTTTAACATACTATAATATGACTTTTTTTTTTTATCAAAATATACAATTTTTATCACACTACACTGCGACTTTTGGTTTATTATATTATGACTTTTCTCTTTTTTTTTACTTTTTATTGATCTTATTTTCATACCATACCATGATATTCGTACCAGTCTCTACTACAACTATTTTTCCATACTTCATTTCAATCAGCCCTTTCTGGGATTTGAACCCAGGACAGTCTGGCTGTTAGGTGACAGTGCTAACCATTACACTACTCTGACTGTGCTTACAGGCTAAATTTTTATCATACTTTACTACGAAGTTTTTTTTTATACTAAACTATGAAATCTTTATCATACTATACTATGATATTTTTTGTCATTCTATACTATAATTTATTTTGTCATGCTATACTATGACCTCTTTATCATACTGTACTATGACTTTTTTTCATGCTATTCTATGTAGTTTTTCAATTTATTATTACATTTTTTCAGACCAATTTTTGAAAAAATTTCTTAATATACTGACATTTTCGTTTACTGACATTTGAATTTTTTTATTATACTGTACTTTGACTACATTATCAAATGATACTGTGATAGTTTTTATTATACTATACTATGACTTTTTTAAGACAGAAATATGTAAATTTTAATCACACTAAACTATGATATTTTTAGCATACTAAACTGGGACGTTTTTTTTTTTTAGTTTGTATTAATCTTTTCATCATGCTATACTTTGACATTTTTATCATACTAATCTTTGCTCTTTTTTTCATATTAAAATATGTTTTTTTTACACTGAAGTATGACATTTTAAATATACTTTACTATGACATTGTTTCCATGAGATAATATTAATTTTTATTCACAATAAAATATCTTTTTTGTAAAAAGATGTTTTTTTTTTCATATTAAAATATGCAATGTTTAACATACTATACTATGACAATACTTCGACATTTATTATTTATTATTTATACTAAAAATTGTTTCAAACTTAAAAATAAATCTTTAACAAACAATACTATGTTTACTACTATATTTTTAATATTTAAATATGACTTTTTCATACTAAAACATGAAATATTTTACATACCATATTACTTTTTTATCATGCTATACTAAAACGTTTTTTCATTTAATTTTTTTTTCATACCAAAATATTTATTTAATAAGAAACTATTCTCTGAAATTTTTATCATACAATTCAATGACTTTTTTTCACATGGAATTATAATTTATTCTAAATCATGCTTAGGTTTTTTAACATACTATACTATGACATTTTTTCTCATACTACACTATGCATTTTTTATATAAATATATGAATTTTTACATTAAATATAAAATTTTGTCACATATTATGACATTTATATCATACTATACTATGACATTGTTTCAATATTAAAATATGAATAATTTTTTACCCTTAAATGTTAAATCTTTGACATAATATACTATGACATTTTTATCATTCTAAAATATGAATTTTTGCAATCATACTAAAAAACTAAAATCTGAATCATACTTAACTATGATATTTTTATCATAGTATACTATGACTTTTTTATATTAAAATATGAATTATTTTTATCTCTAAAATGTGAAATTTTTAACATACTATACAATAACATTTTTATTATTCTAAAATATAATTTTTTTTATCATACTAAAATACCAAGTTTTTATTAAACTATACTATGACATTTTTTTATCATACTAAACTATGCATTTTTTATATAAAGACATATATTTTTTTCACACTAAAATGTGTAATTTTAACATACTATACAATGACATTTTTCTCAAATAAAAATTTGTTTTTTTTTAACTTACTAAAATATTAAAATTTACTAAACCAAAATTTTAATCATACTAAACTATGATATATTTTTTTAATCAAACTATACTATATTGTTTTAATATAAAAATGTGAATAATTTTTACTCCAAAATGTAAAATTTTTGACATAATATACTATGATATTATTTTCATTCTAAAATATGAATTATTGTAATCATACTGAAGTACTAAAATTTACTAAACTAAAATTTGAATTGTACTAAACTATATTTTTTATCATACTATACTATTACATTTTTTAATAATAAAATATGAATTATTTTTATCTCTCAAATGTGAAATTTTTAACATACTACACTAAAACATTTTTTTATTATAAAATATGAATTTTTGTAATCATACAAAAAAGTTTTTATTATTCTATACTCTGATATTTATATCGCATACTATGCATTTTATTTTGATATATAATTTCTTACATTAAAATATGAAAATTTAAAACATACTATACTATGACATTTTTATTATTCTAAAATATGAATGTTTTGATCACACTTAAATATCAAGTTTTTTACATACACTAGGCATTTTTTACATTTAAATATTATATTCTTTTGACACGCAAATGTGAAATTTCTAACGTATGATACTTTGACATTTTAATCATGCTATACCATAACGTTTTAATATGTTAAGACATGAAAAGTCACCAAAATTTGACATTTTTAACATACTCATGAAATTTTTATCATGCTATGTTATGACATTTTTTTAATACTAAAATATGATTTTTTTATTATACTATACTATGACACTTTTAACACACTATACTATTACATTTTTATTGTACCATACTTTGACATTTTTTTCATACTAAAATATGAAATTTTTTATACTATAACTTGAAATTTTAAACATACTTTGATTACATTTTTAAGTAAAACATTTTAATGGTACTACACTACAACTTTTTTTATCATACTATACTGACCTTTTTATTCTTTTTAAAAAAAACTTAAATAAATATAAATATATATTTATAAATATTAAATATTAAGTTTTTAACATACTTTACTAGGCCTTCTTTATATTCAAATATGATTTCCTTTTGACACTCAAATGTGAAATTTTAACAAACAATACTGACATTTTAATCATGCTATACCATGAAATGTCTATAACATGAAAAGTCATTTTTCATGCCAAAATTAGACATTTTTAACATACTCAACCAAGAAGTTTTTATCATGCTAAGTTATGACATTTTTTTCATACTAAAATATGTTTTTTTTACTATGACATGAAATTTTTAACATACTTTAATGACATTTTTTATATTAATATATGACATTTTTATCATACAACACTACTTTCTCTTAATCATACTATACCATGACTTTTTTTTACTTATCTTTTTTAAGTACCATACCATGATATTTTATATCACACTATACTATGACTCTTTTTTCATACTTCATTCAAATCATACCAGACCTGCCTGGGATTTGAACCCAGGACATTCTGGCTATTAGGCAACAGTGCTAACCATTGCACTACTCTGGCTGTGCTTACAGAGAAGATTTTTTCTTTATGAAACTTTACTACAGTTTTTTTTTTAATACTAAATTGTGAAATCTTTATCAAACAATACTATGATGTTTTTTTGTCATAATATACTGCATTTACTATACTATGACTTTTTTATAATACTACTCTGTGTAGTTTTACAATATATTATACTATGATATATTTTTTTACAATAATATAATAGTATTCAAATGATATAGTATTCGAAATGTTGTCATACTTTACTGTGACATTTCTTTTTCTGACATTTGAAATTTTTCATTATACTATACTATGACTTCCTTATCAAACTATACTGTGAAAGGTTTTATCATATTATACTATGACTTTTTTAAGACTAAAATTTGTAAATGTAATCACACCATACTCTGATTAATTTATCATAAAATACTATGACTTTTTTATATTGATCATTTGATCAATTGACTATACTTAAACACTTTTGTCAAACTAAACTTTGCACTTTTTTCAGATCAAAATATGATTTTTTTACACAAAAATATGAAATTCTTTACATTCTTTACTGCCTTTTTTTATTCTAAATTTTTTTTTTCATACTAAAACATGACATTTTTATCATACTATAATTTGACGTTTTTCATGACAAAATATGTTTTTTTTTCATACTAAAATATTATTATTTTTTTTAACATACTATACTTTGACATTCTTTTCAAACTAAAATATGATTTTTCATACTAAAATACTGAATCGTTAACATACTATACTATGACCTTGTTAGTGGCCCGTGGGGCACTCGTGTAGCAATGTTTTGATTGCTTGCATCCTTCATTTTATCTGAAAAGCTTGGATCAAAACTTCAAGGTGATAATAAATGATTACGGTAACTGATACTGGACCTCAGCCCTGAGGATTTCAGTAAGCCCAACACCAACTGCCTTTAACTTTAAGCTAGTTTCAAGTGCAAGTGTTTGCCTCTGTATTCCCTGTGCTGCAGCTCAGCCTGCCAATCACAGCAACAGACATCTGCTTTCAGACTAACAGAGCAGAAGTTAATGATGAAATCCTTAGGAAAAGGAATGAAAAGAATAAGATTTAACAGGATTTTAAATTGTGAAAACCATATTCTAAATGCTTGGAGTCTTACTAATGTAATCGTCAAGAGCTGATGTTTGTTAATATGGCTTATAACCTGATGATTTGTTTTGTTTTTCTGTCTGGATTTTTTTTTTATTTTTGAGACAGAGGTGGTTAAATGGTTAATTTAGAGTCAGTCGATCCAGAGTGTAGCGTGTGGAGCGTTTGTAGAGCTCCTCTTCTGTAGACAGTCACAGTGGATATTTCACACTCTCAGCTGTCACTCAACATACTTTTGAACTGCTAGACTTCCACAGTGGTCTAAGAACATCTGCCATACGTCTCCAATGTAAATGAAGCTCCTGCTAAATCTGTTTTTTAAATGTTTTTTATTTTAATTTCATGGCTTTAAATTGGAAGTCTATGAAGGAGTCCACTTATTCCTTCAAAATAACCTCAAGTTCCTGCGGGTATACCGACCTGTTGTATTTCCTTCTTCTCAGCTGAATGCTGCAGCCTGTGTGGAGGTGAAGGTTTTATGAAGTCCGCCTTGAAACACAGGAGAAATTAAACATGGAGGCAATGATGTGCTTGATATAAGATTTGGCAAGGCAAGGTTAACAGTCTTTTAATGTGAAATGGAGCATTTATTTATACGGCAGGAAATATTAAACTTTTATGAGCTCTGCATCCCTGTGCTGTTTTCCAACCATGCCTTGTTAGATACACCTGCAGAGACTGTTGAAGATCATTACCGAGAAAACAAAAAGCTGCGGTTTACTGTTACGCAGGCTTGTTAAAAATACAAGAAAATTGCAAGAAATGCCTCACTTCAATTTGGTGAAAACAGGACAAAATCCGCTGATATTTTCTGCTTTACAACAACAGAAAAAGTGCAAAGAAAAGTTCTAACAACAGGGGAGGATAATGGTGGGTTTCTTTGCTGTTCAAAAGATGACTGTAACAATTCCTGATGTTTCTGTATGAGCTACAACATCAAACCAGAATATGAAGACGGACTACACTCACCGGCCACTTTATTAGGTATACCTGTCCAACTGCTCGTTAACACTTAATTTCTAATCAGCCAATCACATGGCGGCAACTTAGTGCATTTAGGCATGTAGACATGGTCAAGACAATCTCCTGCAGTTCAAACCGAGCATCAGTATGGGGAAGAAAGGTGATTTGAGTGACTTTGAACGTGGCATGGTTGTTGGTGCCAGAAGGGCTGGTCTGAGTATTTCAGAAACTGCTGATCTACTGGGATTTTCACGCACAACCATCTCTAGGGTTTACAGAGAATGGTCCGAAAAAGAAAAAATATCCAGTGAGCGGCAGTTCTGTGGGCGGAAATGCCTTGTTGATGCCAGAGGTCAGAGGAGAATGGCCAGACTGGTTCGAGCTGATAGAAAGGCAACAGTGACTCAAATAACCACCCGTTACAACCAAGGTAGGCAGAAGAGCATCTCTGAACGCACAGTACGTCGAACTTTGAGGCAGATGGGCTACAGCAGCAGAAGACCACGCCGGGTGCCACTCCTTTCAGCTAAGAACAGGAAACTGAGGCTACAATTTGCACAAGCTCATCGAAATGGGACAATAGAAGATTGGAAAAACGTTGCCTGGTCTGATGAGTCTCGATTTCTGCTGCGACATTCGGATGGTAGGGTCAGAATTTGGCGTCAACAACATGAAAGCATGGATCCATCCTGCCTTGTATCAACGGTTCAGGCTGGTGGTGGTGGTGTCATGGTGTGGGGAATATTTTCTTGGCACTCTTTGGGCCCCTTGGTACTAATTGAGCATAGTTGCAACGCCACAGCCTACCTGAGTATTGTTGCTGACCATGTCCATCCCTTTATGACCACAATGTACCCAACTTCTGATGGCTACTTTCAGCAGGATAATGCGCCATGTCATAAAGCTGGAATCATCTCAGACTGGTTTCTTGAACATGACAATGAGTTCACTGTACTCAAATGGCCTCCACAGTCACCAGATCTCAATCCAATAGAGCATCTTTGGGATGTGGTGGAACGGGAGATTCGCATCATGGATGTGCAGCCGACAAATCTGCAGCAACTGTGTGATGCCATCATGTCAATATGGACCAAGCTCTCTGAGGAATGCTTCCAGCACCTTGTTGAATCTATGCCACGAAGAATTGAGGCAGTTCTGAAGGCAAAAGGGGGTCCAACCCGTTACTAGCATGGTGTACCTAATAAAGTGGCCGGTATGAAGACGGACTATAACTGTAACTCTTCTGAGAGTCAGAAAACGCTGGTTTGTAGGTGTCAGTGTGTGCTTCAAAAACAGCCTTTGTTTATATTTATTTTTGAGGTTTTAAATGACTCAGAGGGTTTAATGAGGGGATATCATTTTGTTACCTCCGCCAAGGAGGTTATGTTTTCGGTAGCGTTGGTTTGTTTGTTTGTTAGCAACTTTATGGAGAAAGTTACAGACAGATTGACCTGAAATTTTCACCAGAGGTGCGTCTCAGCCCCAGGAGGATCCCATTACATTTTGGTGGTGATCCAGATTGCCTTCTGGAGCCAGGAATTTTTTGAAGGATTCTTTATCATTGTGAGATAGGGCCAATTTTGGAATTTTTGCATTTAACTCTATAAAAATGCCCAGAACCTTTCGTACAAAATTACATAAAAGGATCTCAGTTAGTTTTATGAGGTGTCAAAGGTTGATCCTGATCCAGACAAAATTCCGGATACCGTGATCCAGAACACACAAAAATAAGGGTGTCGTTGGAATTTTCAATGCTGAAAGAAAATCAATGGGCGGCACAGTGGTGTAGATAGGCGGCACAGTGGTGTAGTGGTTAGCACTGTCGCCTCACAGCAAGAAGGTCCTGGGTTTGAATTCCGGTCAGGGCATTTCTTGTTTTAGGAACATTATGAACAGTGAACATACCAGTTTAAACACAAATAAAAGTTAATAAAAGACACGTAACAGTAAAAGTTTTGGTGTGAATCACAATATAAGGGGGGACATGAGCTGCTTGGCGGAGGTCTGCGCTCTCCGAGTGCTTTTCTAGTTTAATATATGACCTTCACAGGACAAATTCAAAAATGAAAAGTGAGGCACTATTTTGCTCACATGAGATGCTTTTTGATGTTTTAAAAACCAATATCAAGTTGAAATGTTGGGTGTCAATACTGGAAGTATAGAGGCAAAGCTTGTATACACTCACAGGTTGTGAGGTAAATGTGTGTTGGATGAGACTGTCAGCCAATTTGAACAGCTTGTTAAAAAGGTCACTCAAGAATAATCTGAGGCTGACACGTATCATGACGTTATCACTTTATGAATCTCCTCAAAAGAGCAAAATTAACTCATTAGTAGCAATGAGAAAGGTCTGTTGTGGACTTAACAGACTTTCCAGATTGGTCCAGGGTCCAAAACAAATGACCATTTCATTATTTGTCATTCCAGTAAAGACACACCAGTTAACTCTTTGACAAGTGCAAAGTCTTATTGTAAACAGATGGTGGTAAAATCCCCTTATCTGTTTTCTTGTATCTCTGACAACTTGTTTTGAGGCGTGGCTAATCTAGCATCAGATCATGCTGTCCTGATTCATTTATGTGCGAAACTCCTCTGCACTTTGTTGAGTTTGGATGTTTCAGACAGTTTCTGGCAAATGTCACAGCTGTTATCTCCTCCAAAGACAAACTCACCAGAAAACAGTGGTGATTAGATATCTGGGAAACTGAGCCTTTTATGCTCGCCAATTCACTGATGAGTCCTCTGTCAACAAAGGCCAGTATGATTTGCCTCTCCAGGATCGTTACAGAAACTTGTGGCTACTCCATCTATAAAAATCTTCAATAAAGGCTTATAATGTTATAACAGCAGCTAAGATATTGCCAACATGGGAGCAGACAGCTAACCTCAGACATTTTCTGTCAAGTCGTTTTGTGGATACAAGGCTGTGCGAAAATTAAGTGTGACGCTGGTATAAGATTAAATAAGGCGTTTTTTTAAGATGAAAATGATGCAAAGCTACTCTGTTCATGTCCCAGACTGAAAAAATCTGGACTTGTATGTTCCCCATCTGCCCCCTGAATCCCTTCTAAGTTATCTGCTTGTGAATATTTGACTTTCACGAGCACACTGATGTCAAGTTTGCTCATACAGAGTAAACATCTGCCTGAGCTTTATTTCAGCATCATGTTTCATTTCTCCCATCTGAGGATTGTGTGCTTTTTGTTGTTTCTTGGCACAGACTACACAAACGTATTTCAGACATGCACTCTTCAAAACAGCCCTGTGAAAAAGCTGCATTACATCATCTCATGTAAATTCAGCAGTTGGCCTTCTGCACAATTTGCCTAAAAGAAATCTGTTTGTTTGACACTTGCTCAGAGCCGAGGCAGGAGATGAGTAGAAATAGTTCAAATGAGGGTTAACTCATGCAGGCTGTTTTGTGTTTTTGGCTCTTTAGTAGTGGGTTAAGGTAACAAGCCTCTTATCTGTGTCAAAGTGTTTTTCTGGTTTGCAAAGAGTATTTTATAAAATTTTAGGATTTAAATTTAAAGTCCACTCTTTAGGAAAAATCAGAAATTAACAGACAGCGAAAACATCTGTGTTTTAGTTTGCTTATTTTTATTAAGCAGATTTTTAATAGAATGCAAAGGTCCATTAAGTGGAAACAATTCAAATACTGTATCTGCCATGGCATACAGAGACAGAAAGAGAGAGAAGAGACTGCCCAAGACTGGATCATAACCATTATCAGGATGTAAACTTTACAGAAGGAGAGAGAGAGATAGAGAGATGATAAAATGCCACTCAAAGGCATCCTTTTTTACTGGTCATAAAAGTGTGACATAGTGAATAAACGACAAAACACTCCCCACAAAAACATCTGCAAATGTCATAATCACACAGATATACATCAAAGACAAAAATAAACTCGTCCTTTTCTTTTCTTTTTTTTTCTTTGTCTGTGTGGCTCCACCTACAGCATTTCTCTAAAATAAATCCATTTACACTTTTCAACATATCCTCACATTTACATTAAGTTTATTAGGGAAGCATTTGTTTGCAAAAAAGACCAAGCATCCCCCCCCCCAGGACACACCCATCCCTTCCTGTACAGAGGGGAAGCAGGGATTGGGCGATTGAGCGTCAAGAGAGCAAAGAACGTGATTGGCTGCCACACATACACTGGTATCATAATTATATCATCCACACAGGAAATCAGCTGAAAAGGTAACATGGCAAATAACACAGATTGGCAATAGTGCAGGCTGCTTGAGCTGGCAGTGGCCCGAAAGGGGGATAAATGATGAAAGGAAAATGATTGTTGCATGATTATTATTTGTTTTTGTTTTTTTTGCAGTGCTAGCATGCTCTATGCGGGGGAACAAGGGCGAGAGCTGGAGGGGAGGGGGAAGGGATGAGTGGAAGAGAAGCGGGACTGAAGGGATGAAGTGTCAATCAAAGAGGAAGAGTGAGTCAATGCTTGTCGTTTAGTTTGTTTTTTTTGTTGTCTTCTGTCCGATGCGTCACTCGCCGTCCGTGTCCGTCTTTGGAATGGTGTTGGTTGGATGGTCGGTTTTGGGTTTTTTTCCCTCTGTTTCTTCTAGCGGCTGTAACCAAACTCGTCGGCATCGTCGGCGCGGAAGTCTCCGTAGCGCCAAATGTTGAGCTGATGGGAAGATAGAGAGACGTTTAGCTGACAATGATGAAACAAATAACCATAAAAACGCCATAAAAACATAAAAATAACCATACGGGCTTTGAATGGGACTCTAAATCTAAAGCAGGATGGAGACAAAATGCCGCCACGTAATCGACGCTGAGAGAGGGAATAAGATCACTGCTTTTACAGCCTGGTGTGAAGGCGACCGCTCCATCCTCCTCTTCATCGCCGCTTAATCCAACTCTTTGTGCTCGCCCATCCAAGCTGGAGGCCCCGAGTGCCTCAAATACCACCCAGTCTATTACTTCTCCTCTTCCATTACGTTCACACCGCGTCGCCTCATAAAGCATCGCATGCGTTTCCCAGCTAAATGCCGCCTTTATTGCGACGCTTTTGGCAAAGTGCGTGTGTAGTTTGGAGCAGTTTCAGGAGCGTATTGGTTATTTAAATGTGATAGAAACTGTGCAGTCTCAGGGGTGTGTGTGCGTGTGTGTGTGTGTGTGTGTGTGTGTGTGTGGAGAGGTTCTTTTTTGGCTCTGGGAAGCATGCGCGCTCAGCTGTTAATGCTGTGATTCATAGCTAATTAGCGACAACGCCAATTAGCAGCAGTTATTAGTATGAATGAGTGAATGAAGCCATTTGTATGTATTGTCGTCTCTCACTCTGCTGCCTTTTCCTCCTCCTCTCTGACACCCTGGAATCATGATGACAGATTTGATTGTGAGGGGAGTCGCCTCCACTTCTGACGGGCTCTTAGACTGAACATGCTGTCAAACTACATAGGAGCTAAAGTAGGGACGGGGGGACGGACTCATCAAGGGTTTTGAGTCTGTGTGTTGGACATTTACATAAATAGGAGCTGCATGAGCTAACACACTTGCAATCTAGAAAATCAGGGAAGACGACTTTCAATGTAAGGGGTCAAAAACTTTAACACTCTGCTGAAAGATCTCTCTTTCTTGTACCTTCTTAACACATGCTAAAACCAGAAATCTTTTTTTGATTTAACTTTTTCTTTTTTTTAATTTTTAAAAAGTATTTTGGCCACATTTTGTTTTTGACACGCTTGAGTCTGAAACTTGAATTCATAAATTTCTGCATTTGATTTTAGGACCTGATTTTTGTATTTTGCCAACATTAAGAAGGTCTTTCAGTCTGGCTTTTAGTTAAATTTTGTTTTAATTATTTAATCTGCATTATGTGATTTTACTCTATTTTAGTTGTAGAGTAACAATTCTGTGTTTTATTACCTCTTTTTTTAAATTACTTTTTTATTGTTTGATTTTAAGACTGTTTTATTTAATCAACTTTTTAATGCTTTATCACCTTTATTATATTTTATCATGGTTTTATCGTTGTAGTCCTAGATTCATTGTTTCCTCATTTCTTTTAACTCAAAAAAGCCAATTTACTTGTAAGAAATACTGAGAGGAGTATTTTGTTGTATTCTTATATTTTACCCAGTGGATGGAGCTTGAAGATGCAAGTGATTGTTTAGCTGGATGCATAGTGAGAATCACTGTATTAAAGCTTTTCTCCCTCGGTAGTTCGTAATAATGCACTTAAAGAAAACAGTAGTATACTGTAAAGTAAATACAAATTGTGATGAGTTTGTCAGACTGGGAAGACTCCTCAATTTGAGCCAACAGATAAGCAGAGGCGGCGTCTAACATGAGTCCATTTGATGGCTAATGCTACCGTTCGCCAAAATCCAGGTTCTTCTTTGGTCTGTTCGTACCTCACAATATGATTAACATCATTTTAAAGTTATCTCTCAAATTAAGTGAGTGAACACACATTTGTGTATTTTCTGTATGGTTGAACTATCCCAAAATTTGGTCACCTTCTTGACCTTTCTTTTTGCGGCTCATCTATGTTCCTAATCCTCTAACCCTGTGATTTCACTGATGACACGCACAGTTTTATTTAAGGGAGCAGAATACTGTCATCCAAACAGATAGATGGTGCAGTTAACAACAACTCCATATTAGAGTAAATATATCATCTTTAATGGCTGTTTTATTGACAGTTTTTTTACTGCATTTGTAAATATCAATAATCACAAATTGTGAGCGACAACAAATAATTAAGCTAACAAAGAATTATTGATTTGTTTGATATAGATTTGGGGATAATGATGGAGCTGTACAGGCAGGCCAATGAGGCTTTGTCGAAACAGTCAATACTTGTTCATACAATCAGTAGAACAGGGATTTGGTTTAGTGTTTTGCATTTGTGAATACTTCAGAATAATAGCGGACTAATCCTTTAAAGCATCCTCCATTATTCAGGATTTTCTGTTTGCGTTCATGTTGAAGTTCTCGCTTCTCTTTCTAATCTGGTGCTGCCACTCGTACCCTGACTGTCCAGACTCCTCCCTGAGCCCAAGTACATTTATTTCCAACATTTGTCATTATTGTGTCAAAGCTCCGTGACGTGATTCATCTCCAGACAAGAGCCTTTTGTGTTATGCGCTGCCTTCTATTCGTTCTCCATTTTTTCCCTCTCTCTCTTTTTCCCGCTGTACATTTTTGCGCTCCTCCCTGCCCCCAATTTTCACAGTATGGACCCGCACAGACTGTGGGCTGCAATCCATATGGGACAATGGCTGCTGCCAATGTGATGTGTGTCTTCTTCAGAGAGGGTAGAGAGTGATGGAGTGAGAAAGAGCAGAGATGGAGGACTCTTTCCCCCCGTGGTCGTGGGTATAGAAAAGTCATTAGAGCTGTAATGTATTCTTGTTTTTAGATTGGAAGACAAAGAGCGTAAAAAAAGACGATGACAAAGAGATGAGACTGAGTGACTTACCCGGGCACTCTTGGCAGATTCTTGACTGTTCAGGTACTCTGTCACCTAGGGAAGGAAGAGAAGAGTCATTAGCATATCACATCAGTGCGTCACACTCAGGATTTTAAGGATTAAGGTGAATCAATGCATCCTTTCAACCTGCTCTGCCCCTCCAGACTTCTCTTTTAAGTGCTTTCATGGGCTCGCTTTTTTTTTTTTAAGGGTGCTTGCTCACCCTCTCAGCACCACTACATGTAAAGAACTCAGTGTTCTGTGAAGATCGACGAGATCAAGATAACACACATAGACACAGAGCGGTTATGTCAGTGGAGTGGATGTGGAGTGCACAAACATTGTGAAAGAAGCATACGCGGCTCACAACGCCACATTACTGCCTGTCATTTGGGGGTCAGGGCTTTATCTGGCGTGCGCAGGGCATCACTTTGCGCTTCATGCTACGACTCACACTCACAAGAGCCAGTGAAGATAAGAGGCACTCATACACCTCGTGCCAGCTAGCCTCAGGCTAACACCTAGCCTGTTTGTAGCAGCAGTTTACTGTATAATCAAGTGCATCCTCGGGACGCCTTGAAGAGGCTGCTGGCTGAAAGAGCCTCAA